ATATACATTGTTTGATCTGAACAATTCCATGGAGATATTGAATATCCCCATAGAGTCCTCTTTCTTACGTAGCTCTAAGTCTAATTTTCCATTTCTGGGCTCATTCTCCTCTTTTTGTTGGGGTATCATGGCCTCTGAGTGGGGCAAAACAATTGGTTAAATTGATCCTGGGAGGTTTTAGGGAAAAAATATTGAGTTATTTATTTTTTCCTTACTTTTTGGTCTCGTCCCCTCTCTAAAAAAATGGAAAGTGTCTTCCCCTCGAGGTATGGACTTTGACGGAATTGTTCAGATCAAACAATGTATGTTGAACAGACAATGATCCTGACCAATACATTTTTGGAAAAAGGGTACAAGAAAGAACATCTGCAAATGGAAGTTCAGAGGATTCCGGAAATGAACAGAGGAGATCTTGTAGATAAATCCAAACACATGTCTAATTCCAACACCCAATTTGAATTTTCCTTTAACACACAGTATAATTCCAAGGCCTTTGCTATTAATCAAATCCTAAAAAAACACTGGTCAATCCTCCAACACGATGAGTATCTAGGACGTAAATTAACACATATTCCAAGGGTCATCTATAGAAAAAGGAGGAATTTTTTGTTTCAGGATAAGAATACCATTAAGAAATCCAATACTAGGAAGGGATTCTATATTTGTGGATATTGCAAGGCCTGTAGATTTGTGCCATCTCATACCCATTCATTCTCCAGTACGGATACTGGAGAAGAATTTAAAATTCAGGGAGGGGTCACCTGTTCTGCCACACATGTTGTGTACCTCCTCACGTGTGGATGTGTTGCACAATATGTGGGAGGAACGGGGAGATTAATGCTATTGCCCTAAGAGTTTTTTTCTTTCTCTGTTTATGTGTTTAGGTATATCTTACTTTTCCAATTATTTGTAATATCACTGAAATTCGTTCATTAATAAAAAAGTTATTGACTCCTCAAACCTTACTCTGAATTTTAGCCCACCATATATGTTTTTATTTCTCAAGTTGCAGACTTGCTTTAATGCAAAACAGGTAAGTTGATAAAATAACATAATGGAGTATAGAACATACAATAACGAATATAAAAGGAGCATTTCTTCCAAAGTAGCAGTTATGGAAATCAGAATTAATTACTCTCTTACACTTGAATGGAGCCGCAGGATGTGTCTCTATAACCACAAACAGGGGAGGGCTCTGATGGGGGGCAATTGCCCTCCAGGCCGCCCTTAACCCAGGGCCACCCGATTTTTTAACTTACCTCACTCTCACTGTAGCCTGCAAACAGTGGAGTCGGCCGGCCTCTCCTGATGATGTCAGGAGGAGGGGGCATGACTTCCACTGCTCTTCTCACAGGAATGCTGGGGAATCTGGGAGAAGAGCAGATGAAATCACGCTCCACTGATTGCTGGATGCTGCTCTTGTTGGCTGCGGACTCCTGGCTGCTGCCTCCTGCCCACCTCTCCCTGGCCTAAGGTAAGACTCAGGGAGGGGGGAATACACTAGTTTTTTTTTGTTTATTTTATCCCCCTACTCAGCCATGTCCCATACCTCAGCCTCTCTCCCCCTTCCTTAGCCCCTGCCCACATCTCAGATCCTGTCCCCCCTCAGATCCTGCCCCCCCTCTCAGCTCCTGCCCCCTCTCAAGTCCTGTTCCCCCTCTCAGCTCCTGTTCCCCCCTCCCAGCTCCTGTTCCCCCCTCTCAGCTCCTGTTCTCCCTCTTAGCTCCTGTCCCCCTCAGCTCCTGTTCCCCCTTTCTGCTCCTATCTCCCGTCTCAGCTCCTGCCCCCTCTCGGCTCCTGTCCCCCCTCAGCTCCAGTCCCCCTTACTAAGCCCCACAGCCCCTATAACATCCTCATTACAGCTCATCTCCCCCAATTTCAACCCATAGCACCAACACCACAGCCCCTTTCCCAAATTGTAGCCATCAACCTAGTTCAGCCTTTACTCCCCCCCAATAAATATCCTAACCTCCCAATTACAGCTCATACCCCCCACTACATCCCCTAGCCCCCTACTATTGCCCTGTCCCCTTTCTCAGCCCCTGTCTACTGGCTTTAAAAATGTAAAATGTGTGTGTGTGTGTGTGTGTGTGTGTGTCAGTATGTGTGTGTATTTCTGTATGTCTGTGTGTGTGCCAGTCTGTCTCTGTGTGTGTCAGTATGTCTGTCTGTGTGTCAGTATATCTGTTTCTGTGTGTGTGCCAGTTTGTCTGTGTCTGTGCGTGTGTGTGTAGGTGTGTGTGTCAGCCAGTATGCTTGTGTGTGTGTGTGTGTGTGTGTAATTATGTCTGTCTGTGTGAGTCAATATGCCTGTAACTGTGTCTGTTTAGGTGACTGCCCCCCCTTTCAATCACATGAGAAAGGTGTTTTTACTCTCCTCTTGGTACAATGGGCCACTTGACTGGATCTGCCCCCCCCCCCACCCCCCCAGGCCTAAGGCTGCCAGCCCTCCCCTGACCAAAAGTAAAGAACATTTGAAGTCATTCTTGCATCTATATATAAAGTGAGTTTTTATTCTTCATATCCTGCAGGTGGATGACCTTTTATTTAAGGCCTCTAGCAGGGGTTCATCAAGAAATGATTATTCAATTTAGTGAAAAGGAAGACGTAATTGTATTTTAATGGTCACTCATAAAACAAATTCCCATGCTCTCACTTAAACGTTGATAACCATAAGCTTATGGCATTTGTCTATAAAACCGCAATAATTTCAGTCATAGTGAAGCAATGTTACATAATATTATATATGAAAGACAGAATATTGACAGAGATTTGGATTAAAATATGTGGTTAAACAAAATAAGCTTACATGATAGTATATTTGAAAACAGAACTGAATAGCCAAACACTATATACTCAAATAGAATTTTTTTCTTTCTGCTTAATAAAACGAATAGAAATTATCACTGCTGTTCAAATACTGATAAAAGACAGAGAATTATACTATAATGCTACACAGAGAATGTCAGCTTCAAAAATTCTAATTCTAATAGAGGTTTTTGTCTAATCTTTTTTTTTTTTTACAAAAAGCTCACTTAGCTTTGTATTTTAATCACATTTCAGACGTGCTATTGAGAACAATTCTATATTTTAAGAATAAATGGAATTTTCAGCGATTCTTCTAATGCTTAGAACAGAAATAAGGAAAATTGTTTCATACTTACCGTTATTTTCTTTTCCTGATCATCCTCTCACCATCTTGACCGCCATAAACTTTGCAACTCACTAATTTAATTGGGGAAGAGAATCATCTCCTTCCCCTACAAGACTTCTTAAACCCCACTCCCTCTGCTGTTCTTTTTTTTTTTTTGACATTCTTTATTTATTTATTTGTTCAATTGACAAACTTTCAGCACAATACAACTTTGAACATATTTGGGTGTGTAGCCCTGAACATGGAAGCATAACGTTATCAGCATCGGTGCGTATTCAACTTTACCACTGTCGCGGTGTTAATGTATCGGTTCTGAACCGGTACGGCAGCGGTTCGCTGGAGGCTATTGCCAAGGGCTTTCGGCTTAGCTGTTGCTTCAGTAGCGTCTATTGTATGCATGGGGTGTGTGGTATCCCTTCCGTCATACCCTTGTTGGCTTGTCTTATGAGCTGGTTTGTGTCTGAATGCCTTAATATTGATATTTTGCATTTGCGTCTAGTGTGGTGGTGCGAGCGGGATACATAGTAGCTACGGAGTGTCATCCGTCCAGTCGGATGTCTGGCTTGGTCCCAGTGGTTCCTGGGTTGGTGCCGCTAGTGGGTTGTGTTGTGTAGGTCTTTGTCAAAGAAGTGTGTTGTGCGTAGCTCGCTAAGTATTAGTTGTCTCAGACAGGTTCTGTGCTGCCTGTTGTGTCCGGAGTCCTGTGTGTGGCTTATTCAGGTTATTGTAGTCGGTTCCGGGTAATGTCTAGCATGAGGAGCATAGAGGAAGCGTCATCCTCGGGGGCAGTTATGTCTGACATCCGGTCCTTCGGCTCGTCACATTTCCTGGTAGTGCTACCCCGTTCTGTCCCTCTTGAGTCTGTTGATACAGTGCCTGTATGTTCCCTCTGTGATTTCTTGGCCTGTCTCGTATCATTCGCCCTCCCTTCCTTGTTGCTCACCATTTGCCCTACGTGTCATGTAGTGATATAATTTGGCTTGCCTACGAGAGTTATGTCTTCACGGTTCGTCTTTAGTCCGGGAAGAGGGGTGGGGGGGAGGAGTTAGTCAGTTTTGTGTGTGTGTGGGGGGTCATATGTAACTGGTCTTTACTGTAGCTATGCGTCAGTCCGTCTGGGGGGGGGTTGTGCCGGTGCGGAGGAGCCCCTACTCCCAGTCTGGGCGTCCCTTGCGGCTCCATTTGCGGTATATTCCATCCATGAGAACCAGGTTAGGGCACATTTGACTGAGCGTCCCTGCAGGGAGACCGTCATCATTTCCATGCTGAAAATCATTTCCACTCTGTCCACCCATTGTTGGTGGGTGGATGTCACCGGGCTTTTCCACATCGTGGGAATGAGCGATTTTGACGCCGTGAGTAGATGTATGATGAGGCCCTTTTTATAGGCCTTCGCAGGTGTGCTTGTGTGGTTCAGCAGTAGCGGCAGTGGTTGGAGGGGGATATCTGTCCCAGTGATGTCTTTAATCGTCTGGTGTATCTTTCGCCAATATGGTTCAATGCGTGGGCAGGACCACCAGATGTGGATCCCAGAGCCTTCTGCTGCGCTGCACCTCCAGCACTCACCGGGGATTGACTTGTGGATGTGTCGGAGAATGTCTGGGGTTCTATACCAGTGGGTCAATATTTTGTAGTTGCATTCTTGGAACTTTGAGCTTATGGTCCCCTTATGTGTCAGTTGGAAGATTTCGGCCCCCATCTCCCTTTCCCAATGTTCCTTGAAGCCTAAGGGGCACTTGTCTCCACTGCTCTGTGGAATATAGATGCGATACTCCATGCGTAAGGTGTTGTCTGGCCGCACATAGATGTTCTAGGTGGAACAGTGGGCGGTGTAGGTGGTCCTTGCCCGTGATCGTGGCAACGTAAGTTTTTAGTTGGTAGTAGCAGAATTCATCGAGTAAGCTTGGTCTGCGGTCTTGTAGCAGCACGGCCATGGGCTGGTGGACCCAGTCCGTCACCCCAAAGTTCTTTAGGTCGGCCGGGGAGAGACCCCCTGCTAATTTCGGGTTATTGGTAATGGGTGTGAGCGGGTTTGGCGATGTTGTAAGCCTTTTGGAATATCGTATGCTACACCAAACCCTCAGCATGGCGTCTATCATCGGGTTGCCTGTTCGCAGTTCCTGGAGCGTTG